AGCAGCCGACGGACAAAGGAGAAGAGCAGAGCAGAACCGGGATTTTCTGGGTTGAGAGGGAAGATTCTAAGCCCCAAATCTTGTGATTTAACAAGAAAAGAAGAGGAAAATTCAAGCCTTTTGCCGAATTTCTCAAGAGGAGTGCGTCGGTGGCTGGGGGGGGCTTGTCGGGTGCAGGGGAGAAGAAAGAAGAGCAGATGCGCGGATAAGGAAGAAGAAAAAGAAAGAACAACTCAGCCATCCTTATCCTAATTTTCTTTCTTTTTAAGTCCCTCAAGTTTGGACATTTTGATCATTAAGCCTCAAAACACTATTTTCTCACACAAAGGTCCTTAACTTAATGCTAAAATACCCCAAAATTTTGGGATATTACAACAACACTACCAACCTACCCAAGGTTTTGTTGGCTTAGAATCTGGTTTCTTGGCTTTGGAGTCTGGGGTTGAAATGCAGGTGGATGGTATGACAATCCAAATTCTAAAGTTCAAACTAAGGAATAACACAATATTTGAATTTCTTTACATATAACCGATTGTCAAATGTCCGTTGATTAAATGCATATAATTGACAACATAATAGTTGGTTATCATGACATAATCGATAGTCATTAAAAGCTGTCAATTATACTAGAGTCTACCTAAAAGATCCACCAAAAAATCAATTTGTGTGGTTGGTTTGATTCAAAACAAAAACAATAGCCAATTTTAGTATAATCAACAAAATTTATGTCAAATATATTCCAAATGGTTCCAGATTCAGAATTACTACATATCACTTCTTCTCAAATCTTCTCCCACCTTTCCTTTCCTCTTTCCTTCCTAGACATGGCACCCCAATTTTTTTTCTCCATTTTTTCTTTCCACTTCTTCTTCTACTTTTCATTTTCCCTTTTCTTTCTTCTCTCATCTTCTCTCTTTCTAACTCATATTATGTTTTTTTTTTTTGAACGAAACTAAAAATTATGTCATTATCTATTTTGAGAGTGCATCATTCAACAAGAGACCCTTAAACTCATTTGAAGGGCAATCAACCCAACATGGTGAACATGAATCCCCCAATACATTTTTCACTGCCCAATTTGTGACATTATTTGCTTTCCTAAGTATATGCAAAAATTCACAAAGAACAAACTGCTATCGGAAAGCTTGAATATCTCGAACCAAAGGATCAATGTCTCAAGGAACTCCACCATCACTATTAATTGCTTGAATAAGCTCTAGGCAATCACTCTCAAAAATAGCTTCTTGCCATCCCCTACGAACTGCCCTCCCAACAACTACTTGTAAAGCTAAGGCCTCTACCAGTAATGTCAATGGGACTTTCCTTTTAAAGGCTATGCCATCAAGCACTTTTCCTTCATTGTCCCTAACCAACATAGCAATACTTGCATATCATGAAAGGGAAGCAAAGGCAACATCTGTATTTAATTCCACCTTCCCTTAAGGGGGAGAATTCCAATGACTCCTTATGGATTCAATTGCATCTACTTCAAAAATTTGACATCGTAAACAAAGAGGATCCATATTAGAAAACCTACAAAAATCCTCAATATACTGATGAGCCTGTTGCACCATAACTTTAGGAGGCAAACTTTGATCTTCAAAAATAGAGTGGTTTCTATTTTTCCAAATATACCAGCTTAACCAAATAATTTCCAATACAACCTCTTGAAGTGCTCTATAAAATTGTTGCATTATAATACCCCACCAATGGGCAAAATCATCAAGGGCATTGGGATCTGGCCTACATCCCAATCTAAACCAAAACCACACAAAAAAAAAAAAAAAATGAGCCACTAATTCTTCAACAACTTCACAAAAAAATGGGACTCAATTACACCTGTAAAGTAGAGATTCTGTTTGGTAGGGAGAGATTTTGTTAGAGCTTTCCATAGGAAAATTTTGAGTTTAAGGGGCAGATTTAACCTCCAAATATACTTCCATTAAGAAGAAGAAAAAGGCACATGTGGAGCAGTAGAGAGATGCAAACCTATACCATTGCTCCTTGCTATTTGATAAGTTGATTTGATAGTGACCTTCCAAACCTTGTATGGTGCCATATTAATTTGTCCAAAGCAGAACTAATGGGAATTTGTAAAATGGCTTGAATATCAAAAGTATTAAACAAGCAATGTAGCTTTTGAAGATTCCACCCTAAGTGATTGTTCATTAAATCATATACCTTTAAATCATTAATTTCGTTTGGTTTAGGAGAAGAAATTTTAAAATTAGTTGCTGAGGGAACCCATTTATTAGCCCACACAAATACATGTTTTCCATTTCCTACACTCCATCTCATTCCCAAATTTAAGACATATCTCTTTTTTAATAGACTTTTCCAATTCTAAGAAGGTGAACTACCTTCCTTCGCATCAAGGAAATGATCATGGAGGAAATAAACAGCCTTAAGAACTTTCACCCGCAACGACTTTGGATTCTTAAGAAGTCACCAACCGTGCTTAGCTAGAAGAGATAAATTAAAAGCTTCAAAATCCTTGAAACCAAGGGCACCACTAAACTTGTTAGTAGTTAATTTCCCTCAACTAACCAAATGTAAATTATGCTCATATTCTTTTTGACACCACCAAAACTGTTTCACTAAACTATTTAAACTTCTACACACATATTTGGGAAATTTGGAACAGAATAGAGCATAGTTAGGCACTTCTTCAGCCACAGATTTGATCAAAATCTCTATACTAGCTTCAGAAAGCATGCCCTCTTTCCATTGTTTTAAGGCTCAGCTCAGCCCGATCGGTTGAATCGGTTCAACCGGACCTAGGCTTGAAAATGGGTCGGATATAATTGTTGTACCTATGATTTTGATGATTACAAAACACATTTTAATGACTAATTGGTTTATTTAAGTGTGTAGTTAAGTTGCTAAAAGATTGCAAGTAAACTTGGATTGCACTAAAAATAGACCAAAAGGATTCAAAATGGCAGAGAGCTGGCTCTAAAAAGCTGTAGCTTGCTCTGGTGAAATTGAAGTGCAGAGAGCCAGCTCTAGAAGCTGCAACCGACTCTACAGGCAAAAATTTAAAGAACATTGTTTGGCGCGTGCGGAGAAAAGACGCAAAGCTGGCTCCAACTTTATAGCTGGCTGTGAGGATGCATTTAATGCACAACGATCGACTCTTTTGAATGTATTTAAAATCGGAATTCCAAAGTCGGCTCAAAGTCTTGCAGTTGGCTTTCGAGGAAAACAAAATGGTCTGCAAACCCGAATAGCCGGCTCTGAAAGTTTGAGCCGGCTCTGCAAAGCCGGCTCTAAGAAGTTAAGTTGGTTCTCCTGGCCGTTCTGCAACTCGAGCCATGCGTCCTGCAAGGCATTTAATGGCCCCTAATGGCTAGAAACGGCTATATTCGAGCAAGGGGGTATAAATATGGGTGGTAACAGATCTGAAGAGGTTAAGAGTCTATTGTATTGAATATCTTTAGCTACCTACATGAGCTTTAACTTGAGTTTTTGATCTTTGAGAGATCTTTGTTTGTAATCCTCTTCTTGTGCTATTAGTGAGTGATCTTGGGGCTGTGTTGATTCCTTCAAGAGTGATCTGTAGAGAGGATCTTTGGGGTTTAAGTGTAAAGGGGTGAGATTTGAGAAAAACCCTTCTTCTTGTAAAGAATTGAGTGGCTCCTTTAGGCCACCATTGTTTTTCCTAGTGGAGAGTGCGGAGGAAAACCTTGGTGAGTGAAGCCAAGGTAGAGGACTAGGCTCCAAGTGGTTGGATCGAACCTCTATAAAATTATTATGCAAGCTCTTCTTCTCAACTCTCTCTTTAATTTTTGTTTGGTGATTGTAAAGAGGCGAAAGTTCTCCAACTCCAATTCACCCCCCTTCTTGGAGTGCATTGAGTCAACAATAACCTTTAACCCGTTTTGACATTTGGCCCACTCCAACCAGTCTGGCCCGCTCCACCTGTTTGGCCTGTTCCGCCCATTGAACCCATCGGGCAGTAGTCGGCAATCCAAAAACATTACGAAAAATAGAAAGAAGAAGAAAGTTCAAGAATAGAACAGATCCCTCATCCTCCATCGACCTCCTGCTCTCAACCACCATTGTCAGTAGCCCTTTGGACAACCTTCGCGGCTCATCTTCCTTGCCTTCCTCCATCGAACAACAGCAGCACGAACAGAGCAACAGCAGCAAAATAGATCTGCATTTTCTCTCAACCACCACCGTCGGTAGCCCTTTTCAACCCTTCGCAACTCATCTTCCTTGCCTTTCTCCAACGAATAGCAATGGAAACCCAGAACAAAACAAAAGCAGCTCCGATCTCAAAACAACTACTTTCAAGCAACCAAACACGTTTTCGAGTGCGACTCACCTGGTTGAGGCCTTGTTCCGTCATTTCTTGCCAAAGTCAAAGAAACGCAAATATTACTTTGGCGATAATAACGCCGGCAAAGAAATCAGACACCACAGCATTTTTGACCAACATTGTAATTATCTTCAATTAGAAAATAGAAACAAACCATGAAAGGAGGAAAGTGCATCTTACTTGTACCTCTTATCTACCA